CATCACAAAGGAATGATTGCGAAATGTTAGTATTTCAAACAAGAAATTATATCTTAAAACAATCCTGTAAAAGCGGTGTCAAAGCAGAGATCTGTGTATTTTAATTACAACACTTCACAAATGTTGACCCACGAATATGATTACCTCTTACGATAAGTAAAAAGTTAGTTACAGTGATACCGTTGAATGTAAAAATCATAAGGAGAAACCATTTTGTTTCGGTATCTAACTTCTCTACTTCTTAGGGTAAACCTGTATTGATAAAGATTTCGCGTTTTACATCCAGAAACGGCACACGAGATTACAAATACGTGAGCTTGAAATACGCAACTTCATTTATGAAAATTGGCTCATTTAATTTTTATAAAACCTTATAAGTGAAAAGGTGAAATTTGGAAGGAACTACGTGCAGAAATGTCCGATAAGCTGCAAAGTGATTCCAGTTGGAATGAACAAGGCAGGGCTATATTCTCAATATGAAAGGATCCACGGGCTATTGTGCGCCAAATTTCATCGAAAGGACGAAACTTCTGCTTCAGGAAAACGATAACTACATATACATAATACATGACATGATAGGTCCATCCCTGGCAAGCTAGACCTCTTACAAAAAAATGATTATCTCTCTAACTTTGTTTCTGGCTTTTTGCCATTTGTTTTTTAATCTAAAACGAAGTCAAGCTGGGCTTAACATATCTGGATTCAAACTTCCAAATTAGCAAAAATCGATTTTAAAATGTGGTTAAATTGTAGTAATACCTCAGAAAATGGAAAGGAAATTCCTATGTTTGGTTGCGCTTTTACGAAACCCTTAAGAATTCAGCTGAATTCATACTAATTCAAAGTTGTGTAAAGAACAGCAAAATCAATCCTCAGCTACTGGGAAACAAAATCATTTTGTATCCAAACAAATTCAAAAGTTTGATACGTTGACAATGGCTCTTAGGTAATGTTTATAGTGTTTGGTTTATTATCTTTGGAAGCATACATACATATGTCTGTTCATCTAACGAAATCAATGATGCTACTAAAAAAACCTTTACGTCAATTGCGTACTTTTGAAGTAATTACGTCAAACACAGTACGATATGTTCCTCTGTAGAGCATGCTATAATAGCTACTGCCATGTACAAATCGTAAGTAACAGTATCACCTACAAATTCTAAACAATCGTTTATAATAACAGCCTTTTGTGAAAATTTGTAATGAAAGATGTTGTCCCAAAATTTTCGTCTTCTTGAAGTTTCTGAGTAGCTCTGTAGAAGAAATTGAAACTGACTTGTAACATTCCTTATGAATTATAGGGAAGCGTTTTTAGTGCAATACTCTGAGACAAAAGCAAAGTCAAGGACACGTAAGGATCAAATCGTCCTTAGATAATTTTTGCCAACCCAGGTTTTTGATTGATAATCGGTTTTACGCAGCCTCATCATGAAAATGATCTCGTTGTCTCGCATTTACAACGCATAAACATGTCCCGTAACCCACGAAAATAAAGAAAGAAAGGATGTTGTTTTGCTGATTGTGGTTGTTGTAATCTGAGACCGCACTCCGCCCCGTAGTTCATTCGAAGGTCAGTCCCAGAATCGAACATTTCGCTATGAGTATGCCGTTTAGAGCTGTTCTACTCATCTCTTGTGCTGGAGCTGCATTAGCACGTAAGTTCAGTTGGTACAATTCTGTGCAATTAACTGTATCTCAAATAAAAATACTTAGAATTCTATACCCTTGGCGGATATGCGTGTTCTCAGCCAATTTTATACATTCAGTGTGGATGCCCATCGTTTTGTGGGTGAGTTCAATGATATAAGGAGGCTTGTCGAGTTACGGCGATTTTTTTTGGAAACAAATCTGTCAAGCCTAGCTCAGCCAATAGCGTGCCGACTGCCTTTTTTGCTACAAGCTCAAATCAAACGCTCTCCAAGTAACATCTTTGCAGATCGTATGGAGGTGGAGGTGGTTACGGGGGCGGGTTTCCCGATTATAATACCTGGTCTCGACAACATCCTCATAAGAAGCGAAGAAGACATCACAAGAAGAAAAAATTCCGTTTTGAGACAGCTGAGGAGCCAGATTCATGTAAGTGATTAGTACCTCCGTAATGTCTGAGCTTTTGCATCGATAATGTAATTAAGCTTTGAAAATGCATCTGTTAGAAACGGATTTGAGCCATGAGATGAAAAATGGAAAGAATGAAGGATGCAATAAAAATCACATGAAAAAAATGATACGTTTGGAGATGATATATGTAGAGTGAAGACCAGTTTTGCCTTTTGAAATGCGATACATCTGGTATTCTCGTTTCGCCTTTTTTGGAAGTGTTTCTATGAAGAATTGTAGCTAACTTCTTACCGTTTATTGAGTAAAAGCATGGAGGTTGAGTGCTTCTGTTTGTTGAACTACAGAAATTACATGTTTCTTCGCCGATAGCGATATGAGTTTTAGCAGAACTCTCCCCACCTCCATCCAAGCCAGAAGATAAACCAGATAAGCCGAAAGGTTCGAAACATTCCTGGGAAGACGAGGTACAGATCTTTGTTCACTGTTCGCCTTTTGAATATTTTATTAATGATTGCAGGATGATTGGGAAAAGAAGTTCGTAAACCCGAAGTCAAAAAGCAGTGCCCCTAAAGGCTCAGAAGAACTACCAGATATCACTAGTGAAGAGGTAATATAAATACTGACAAAAATGTTCCAAAGCCACTTCCCTCTTACGAGCCCTTCCTAAATCAGTCATACGTAATGCAGATACACTATTTGAGTATCGATCACCTTTAATTCACTACAGATATCTTCTGCAAAATCTCGCCTGAAAAGCAAATCAGATGATAAAGAAAATCAGCAAAGTTCAGCTTTATCACCAGCTGTTAATACTCACCCCAGAGGTATTTGATTATATTTAATTTTGAAATAGTCCAGTTTACCCTGAATGTATTTTTTTAGGAGGAGCAGTTGGCGAGGCCGGAGATGTTGGTGGTCCTGTCAGTACTAATA